CCCATAGTGTGAACATTTTTGTCTGCCACAGCAAATGGCCGAGCGATTATAAAAGGCTGAAAAAGTTTTGAGACAAATAATAAAAAAAAAGTGTACACACATTTTTATACAAAACAAAGTCATATTCGACAATGAAGTGTATCTCAGAATAAATTGCTGTTGCTAATAAGCTGTGAAAAACATAAAACATAATAATTGAAAATTATAATATTTTATAGATTACTAAGAATTCGATGAGGTAGGAGTTGAAGACGATAAAAATGATCAATATTATAATAATACAAAATATATTTCAGGATAAATTACTCTCGATAATACCGCGAAAAGTATAATATTCGATGAAATATCGGACATGAACCTTTTTCGTACGCCGCAGCAGTTGGCCGAGTGGTACGATAAAAGGCTGAAAAGTTTGATGAGTTAAACGAAGGATCGTCCTTGGGCGAACACACGGCGAATTGGCGGTAGCCAACGATGATGACAGTGGAATCATCCTTTGTCACGCGCGCCGCGTTTAACAATAATTATCTCGCGCAATTAGCGAACCGATTGCCGGGCCGCGGCCGTCCCGAAAGTTTCCTCGTTATAAATAATTGCAAAATCCGCCGCGAGAGATCCCCTCGCGCCGTCGCGTCAAACGTTTTGCCCGCCGCGGCAACGAAGAAGAACGAACCGGCTCGATGCGATATCGTCGCGTGACCGGCCGTACTTTTTAACAAACCTCGTCTCTCGTTGCTTCTTCTTTGGCTTGCAGGAAACGTTAATGGCACGTCTGGTGTTTTGCCTAACTGCAGGCCTGAAACGCGATTTTAACTTGTTAATTGGAGGAGGGGGAGGGGGGGGGGAGCTTAAGTTTCGCGAAACGAGCTCGTTGATTTCTTGCAGATGCCAAGCTATTTGTCGCTTAATTTTTAATAGAGATGAGTGGACTGGTCAGTGTTCATAGAAATTTCGGGAAGTGTGAAGTGTATTGAGAATAATGTATCACTTGTTGGTGCTTTTATTGAGACTGGGGAAAAGACTTGGCATTATGACAGTGAGAGTTTCCGATTTTTTTCAAACAAGCGGTTGACTTAAATTTTCTTGTGCAGTGAATTTCGTATTTTGGAAGGAATGAAATTTTTGCAAATGAACTCTGATAATTTTGCGAGCCGTTTGATTATTTAAGTCAATTGTTTCTTCGCTCGAAACTTGAATTAATTTCTTTTTGTTTAAAATGATTTTTCGTTACTGAATTTCCCTCGAATTTTATTTCATACGAAAAGAGAGAGAGAAATTTCATTTGCACAATATTGATTTTCTAATTGTAAAATTAGCTATAAAATTAGTTTCAGAAATTCGTTTAGCAATTAGAATGTAGTACAAAAATATCAGGAATTTTTATAATACATCAGATATTTTAACGGCAAGAAAGTTAATATTTTATATTATTTATAAGTAGACTGCGAATTATTTATGCATTCATTGAAATTCAATTTCAAGACACAAAAATGCACACAATGCGTGCAATGTATGAAAATACATAAAATATCAAAAGTATCGTTATAATATTTGAAGAATGAAAACAATCTCTGTTTCTTCGATAAAATATCACGAAGATTTAAATTGCATTTGCATAGACATCCACAATCTATGTATAAGAGATCGTTAGAATAATAAACAAACGAGTGTCGTTCACTTCTTTTGTAATATTATTCATTACATATACAAATATTTCGTCGATATTATCTTCCTGAAACAATAATTCAATATCACGTGGAAACAAAAAAACTTCGTATATGAACAGGCTGACGAATGCCAGAATTAATGCGACCGCTGTCGGAGCTTTCAGAAAATATTTAGGTAACTTTTTCTCGCAAATTGAAACTAACGTGACATCATTCTCAGACAAATCCATTTGAAATATGTACATTTCCTGCAACGAGGATTGATTTTCTGCCAATTCTTTTCATCTGCTCTCTAGTTATTATCTCTCACTAGGCCAACGAAAATACTCTTTATCAAATTAACCTGAATCGATCCGAGGAAAAAAAAAAAAAAAAGAAAACAGAAAATACGTAAAAGTTGGAAATTTATAGCTCGTTATTATAGCGAGAATGCATTGTCAGAACCGACGGTATGTAAACGACAAATGAAACTTCCAGAAATAAAGCGAATTGAAACAATTACGTCTATCAAAATTAGTTCAAGCAAACTTCTTAGAAAGTTTATGGCCGGCGAACTGTCGCAGTATACTCTCGTTTAAAAGTCTCAGAATTATTTGTTCTTGTTTTCATTATCGATAGAATTTCACTCGTCGTAGATCGCAGATTGCATACATTTTACTGCGACGAATTTAGAAAGCAATTTCAGGTAGACGTTCGCAAAAATGATAGGAAAACTTGCCAAGTAGAACGATACTCTGTCGTACGAGCGTTTTTTGGTTTTTCGAGCGTTTAGTTCAATTCGAGAATCGTCTTTTAAACTTGTTACTGAGCACGTGTCACTCATTATCACCGCGAGCATAATTGCGAGCGAAACAGTCCATTTTCAAATGTGGATCACTGGATTGCGCGCGTCACCTTGATAACAATGAGTCGAATATACGCCATTTCCAAATTTAGATTTCGCTGAGAAATTATGTTACTTTGCAAATACACAATCACAAGGCTAACGTAATTACATGGCTTGACTCGTGCCGGACTCGTAACTGCATTTTTATTGTGTATTGTAAATGACCGACGTCCTCGAAGATCGATATTACTTATCACTTAACGCGACGATATGGATCTCGAGCAAATTACCCTGCCAATAATGCAGCGTGGCTATAGAAACGTTAATGTAACGAGCATCGACGAACGACAACGAACGATGACCAATTGCAATTTAGATCGGCTCATCAGCGCGGTACAAGCGTAATATCATTAAATTTCGCAATAACAACGCGGCAACACCTTTGCACGGCATCAAAATTACGTCGTTCGTGTTCGCGCGCGCGCATGCGATGCATTTCTGAAATAATTGGTTGCCGCGGATACTGGCCAAGTAACAATTGGCGAGCATTGAGCAGTTCGAGCGTGACACGCGCGCGCGGAAAACTCGCCCCCTTAACAAGCTGCTGCTCGCGTCTGCGATCCCGCGATTACACATTAAACTATATCGAGATCGATTTCCCGTAACACGTCGTAAACAATCGGATGATTACGTACAGGCATTCGAACGCTCGTCGTGGAGAAACTTTTGTACGTTCAGTGTAAAAGATTTGGGAATTTCGTTGACAGTGCAATGGGAGAGATAACCGTTATAGTTATAGTTATGAATAATATAAAATGATAATTTGATAATAATTAGATAGAGATGATAATTTGAAAAAAAATGATAATAATCTGATGTAATAATTCGGAGATGTATAGAGAATTTGCGAGATGTTTGCTGCAAATATACAGGAAGAAGTGAAACAGCGGGTGATTTCTCGTGGAAAAATGAATGAAAAGTGTGGAATAGAATTTTTTTTCCATCTGTCATTCAGACTTCGTTTAGGAGATTTTGAACGAAACGTGTTCAAGATCTGTTTCCTTGATAATGAAGTTTCAAGTAAAAAAAAACATTGTTCCATTTTTGCACTATTTCCTGTTGATCATTACCTTCTGACACGTTCTGACACTATTAGTCATATTCAACTGTACTTAAATAAACGTTCCCGAAAACGAAGCCTCGAATGGAAAAATCTTATTCTATTCTTTCGATGTATTTTTTCATGAGGAATCATCCCATTGAATATTAAAATTTATTAATTGATAGATAATTGTTAGTGCAAATATTTTCGCGAAATGATTTTTGCATATATTTGATCAATCTAATCTTGAAAGTTAAACTTCATCACCATTGTCCATGAAATTTCAAAACGTTTCATACCACATAGGTGATATATTCGTAAAATATACTTTGAATAACTATATTTATCAGAGAATAAATGTTCATACTTCGGACGATCGATAATTTTACTCGCGAGCAGAATGATGGGAGGAATGTATTCTTTTGTTTCATGGTTTCTTTTTTCATGAAAATAAATTTTTGTATTAATATTAGTTTTCTAATATCCATTATTTAAGTTTGTACAATTATATTAATACGTGTATAATATAAAAAAAAACATGAATGAAAATTGTTGTTATATTTTTACTAACGTTTTACTTATCGAATGAAAATCTGAAGCGGATTTAACACATTCTCTCAATTCAGGAAACTCGATTATTTTCGTAATCGTTCCGATTTAATTGATCAGTTTTTAATTAATAGCGCGAACTTGAACGAATGTTATACTCGTCTATCCGTTTTTTCGTCCAATTTGTGTCTTTTTTTTTTCACATCGATTCGCCTGAATCTGAAAAATCTTCGATAATTGCTTTTGGAACATCGTGTTTTACATTTGGCGTTGCAATTTCTCTCGAATTTGTCTTGTACAGATATAATTGGATATGAATGGAGCATTGTGTAGATATAATTGATACATGTATGAAAACTTTGATGTTTTATTGTACTTTTTAATATTTTTGCATATTACTTGATAAATACGAGATTTTTAAATACCAATTGCTCAAGAAGACTTTTTGAATTATGGAGATTTTGAAGATTCAATCGGGTTCCTGTAAGTTTTTATTTTACCGCAGATAACTAATCCTTCGCATATTTAAAGTTGACTGTGAATCAGTACACTTGCATTATAATTGTTCATTTCATACGGGAACAAATCTACGAACGTAGCAATTTGCAAAACAAATGCCTTGTGATTTCCGACTAATTTCAACTCTTTACGAACAATCGTCGCAATTCACCGTGGAATCTGCGTGAATGATCGCTTCCTATTTTCATTGTTCCGTTGCTCGAAATTGTTGTCATTTGCGCGAATGAATCCCGCTCGTAACCGTTTGATTCCGAAAATCAGGCACTTTTACCGCATTCAACAAATACGTCCCATGGAAGATGACAGCAAACTAGACACTAGCCACGTGGCAAAGGATTTAATAGTAATGATCGTCGTTATCATTGTGTTCGTCGCCAGTGCTTCTCGAATAGGAGCTATGGCTTCCGTAAGAACCATGCTCTCCGTCTGTGTAGCTTCCACCGTGCTCGTAATTCGAAGATTCTGGCCCATGATCCGTATAGTGAGACTCATCCTCGTGAGTATGGCTCCCGTTGGCTTCACCATGGTGTTCGCCGCCATCATCGCGATGATCACTCCCGTAGGTTGCATAATGGGTATCGACGATGGTGCCTAGCAAAAATTTATAATACAATTGATACAATTACTATTAATAATAATAATAATAACAATAATAACATTAATTGTTAATATGTTGTTGTTGTTATTAATTAATTAATTATTAATGATTTAGAAGTGTGTTTCATTTAAATAAATTATAAATATTGCGAGTAATATTTAAACACTTGAATATTAAAATTAATTACGGATATGTTATTAAAAAATACCTTGAAATTTTGTACAATTAGATACGACAGATCGTGATTATTGTAGATTGCGAACTTTCATGCATTTATAGGAAATTTAAAAGAAATTGCATAATGTGGAAAAATGTGTAAAGTATTTAAAGCATAGTGTTTTCTGAAATCCAAACTGATATGTGTTGAATAAACCTTGTGCCTTTCGCAGATTTTATAGATTTTATAGGCTTTTGTAGATCTTAAATTTCCTATACATTTTCTGCTCTACTACGAACTTTATATACAATCGCGATTATATCTCATTGCGAATTTCGAAAAGTTTCACGCAACGTAGTATATCCATATCGAACCACTCTGAATTAAAAATGTGACATAAATGAAATTTCTTTTTTCAATTTAACAAGTAGAAGACAAATAGAAGATAAGATATATATATATACACACGCGCGCGCATATATATAAATATATATAAATATATATATACATTCAAATACTTGTGATCCGAAACTGAAGTAATTGTTACGAAAAAGTATATTTTGCCAAGAGTAATTGAAGGATAATCAGTAATTACGAATGATTGAATGATGCGTTTCTGTAAAGTAATTAGCAAAATGGCTGGGCGTCGTCGTTAAAATTAGGACGGAACGAGCGCATGAATGCATTCAGTTAATATCGTTATCTCGATGGTGTAGTTTTATTGGCGATCGATACTTGAGCCACTAAGTTTACGAGGGAAAACTTGCGATCGACGTTCATTAGAGCATCCCGCGCAACTAATGGCACGGATATATCGTGCGAAAATTATTTACGGTACAAAGAAGGAGCTTCCACGAGCTCGAGATTCGATTATTTTAAACTTGCCAACTATTCCGTCTAAATGGATTAAAAATATCATGCTAACAGTACTATTATTGCATCTTTCAGTCTGTTTCTCGATCAAATATCGTTCAATAGTATTAATTTTCTGCAGAGACGTACCTATGATACCGATTAATGATCAATGTATTTATATATTTAGAAATTTTGTTTCTGTGAATTTTTATAAAAAATTAATTACAAAGCTTCGTCCATACAACTTTTTCCCAGATTACAGTACCGATTAATTTTTAACAAAAAAAGATATCTTTAAAGGAACGATATTTGAGTCTCGTGTACTACTTTCGTAGTAAATGACAATGCAGGTTTTTTTTTTTCTTTTAGACTACGATATCGATGAATTTTTGAATAAGAACAAAGAAACTTCAAGGGAATATTGGGATATTGGAGTCTCTTGTCCCAGTTTCGTATCACAGTTTTTTTTTTTTTTTTTTTTTTTTTTCAAAATAGAATATTAATCAATTCTTTTAACACCGTAACTAGCAAAATGACCAATTTATAACAGAGTAGTGTCGCAGGTCTACAATGTTGCACTTTTAGAGATTTGAATGGTTTTTATAAATATCCAAAGTTTATGATGCGTTCAGACTTCTTACTCTACTATCAAATTCACGATAATGAAAGAATTTTTTCCGAAATCACATTGCCGATTAAGTTTTAAACAAGGAACCTTCAGGAGGAGCAGTAATTTAATTTCCTTGCCCCACTCTGGCGAAATCGCGTGAAACAGTAAAATTGTAAAAGCTAGCTTCTGCCGAAGTTAT